CTTCGGTTTTGGACGTCCTTCGTCGCGGGGCTGTGATGTATGCGGCCGACAAATTCAGCCTTCGGAGGACCCGGCCTGCTGTTTTGGACACAGCCTACATAGATGGATGGATATATATCTACTGGATGGATGATTATTGAGTGAGAACAGGTGGGTTAACGAGCAGATGAACAACAGGTGTGTGGCAGAAAGCAGGGGAACTTGGACAATAAAAACTGGGAATATAAAAATACAAAACTCTGAACGAACTGGTAACAGAAAACAATCTAAAAAACATAAAGGTATATAACAAGACAGCACACCAAGAAACGCCATGATTGTGACAGCAGCGCAACATAAAGATAAAAAAAATAGATGGAACTGAAAGAAACCATATAAATTACATTCACACTGTAAAAATAGTCTTCTGGTGGAGTTTTAGGCAGACGTTTTAAAAATATTTGAACCCTTACAAACCTAAAACAATGTCAGGTTTATACAAAATGAATATGTGAAAATGAATCATTGTTTTTTTAAACATGCTTGCATTTTTTTTTTGAGTTCTTAATTAAATTAGAGCCTGCTTTGCTCAAAATGCAACAAGATTACAGCACAACTCCTTCGGCACCCTGTCTTTAAAGAGGACATTTCATGCAAAATCTACATTTTAACTGTTAAATACATTTAGTTGTGAACTTTGAGTCTCAGAGTGCAGAAAATTTTAATTTAGTCTCTCCCTATGATGTATAAATATCCTTATATTTTGTTTGGGTGAAATTTTTTTAACACGTGCAATGCATCGAACAGTCTGGAAACTGGAGAGGGGGGGGGGTAAAGCACCCAATTTGTATTTAAGTTTCTTTTGAAGTCTGTGCTTGAAATAAAACCAAATAAAATGAATTCCATTACACAGCATATAAATATTTAGAACATATCACAAATAGGGGGAAAAGCATCTAGCCCAGCTGAAAGATCTAAAAATGTGAAAAAGATTTAAAAGCAGGATACTTTAAAGCTATTTTCTTTGCAGATGGTTTGGAGGTGAGTGAATTAGACAATTGATTTCCCTCCCTCCTCCTAAAGGTGGGCATCATGACAATAACCTGTGTAACAAACCAGACTCATTGTTACTGAGCAAACTGATGAATATTACCATTAGATCAAAAACATGTTCTACAGAGTAAATTTGTATTGATGTCTTTTCTGACTTGAGCTGAAGAGTGCATCCTAAATATTTTAACTGAACAGGTAATTGGGTTCATGTTTATATG